GGTGACACTTTTGTTGTCCCCATTGTCCCCATGTGTCCCCATTGTCCCCATTGTCCCCATTGTCCCCAGGTGTCCTGTACAGCCAGTTCCTGTCCCAAGGGGACTTCGAGCTGCTCCGGGGTCACGCTCTGTCCCCATTGTCCCCAGGTGTCCCCATTGTCCCCACGGTTGGATACACTGGTGTTGTCCCCATTGTCCCCCGGTGTCCGGTCAACGTCAATGTCATTGGAATCAACGTCAATGTCATTGGAGTCAACGTCAATGTCATTGGAGTCAACGTCAATGTCATTGGAGTCAACATCAACGGTAACACCATCAATAGCATCGACGTCAACGGCATCGGCGTCAACGCCAATGTCATTGGAATCAACATCAATGTCATTGGAATCAATATCAACGGCAACACCGTCAACGGCATCGACGTCAATGTCATCGGAATCGACGTCAATGTCATCGGAATCAACGTCAATGTCATTGGAATCAATGTCATTGTCATTGGAATCAACAGCATCAGCGTCAACATCAACGGCATTGGCGTCACTGTCATCGGCGTCAACATCAATGTCATTGGAATCAACGTCAATGTCATTGGAATCAATGTCAATGTCATCGGAATCAATGTCAATGTCATCGGAATCAACGTCAATGTCATCGGAATCAACGGCATCGGCGTCACCGTCACCGGCGTCAATGGCATCGGGGTCAACGTCAATGTCATTGGAATCAACGTCAATGTCATTGGAATCAACGTCAATGTCATTGGAATCCAGAGCGCGTAGGGACAGCGGCGACGGTGACACCGGCAACAGCGTCACCGGCGACGGCGTCAACGTCAATGTCATTGGAATCGACATCAACGGCAACACCGTCAACGGCATCGATGTCAATGTCATTGGAATCAACGTCATCGTCATCGGAATCAACGTCAATGTCATCGGAATCAACATCAGTGTCAATGTCAATGTCGGCATTGGCGTCACCGTCAACGGCATCGGCGTCAATGGCATCGGTGTCAACGTCAATGTCATTGGAATCAACGTCAATGTCATTGGAGTCAACGTCAATGTCATTGGAGTCAACATCAACGGTAACACCATCAATAGCATCGACGTCAACGGCATCGGCGTCAACGCCAATGTCATTGGAATCAACATCAATGTCATTGGAATCAACATCAACAGCAACACCGTCAACGGCATCGACGTCAATGTCATCAGAATCAACGTCAATGTCATCGGAATCAACGTCAATGTCATTGGAATCAATGGCATCGGCGTCACCGTCACCGGCGTCAATGGCATTGGTGTCAACGTCAATGTCATTGGAATCAACGTCAATGTCATTGGAGTCAACATCAACGGTAACACCATCAATGGCATCGACGTCAACGGCATTGGGGTCAACGTCAATGTCATTGGAATCAACGTCAATGTCATTGGAATCAACGGCATCGGTGTCAACATCAACGGCATCGACGTCAATGGCATCGGTGTCAATGTCAATGTCATTGGAATCAACAGCAACGGCGTCACCGGCACCGGCATCAATGGCATTGGCATCAGCGTCAATGTCATTGGAATCAACGTCATCGGCGTCACCGTCAACGGCCACAGCATCAACGTCATCAGCGTCAACGTCAACAGCATCGGTGTCATGTCAACATCAACGGCATCGACGTCAATGGCATCGGTGTCAATGTCAATGTCATTGGAATCAACAGCAACGGCGTCACCGGCACCGGCATCAATGGCATTGGCATCAGCGTCAATGTCATTGGAATCAACGTCATCGGCGTCACCGTCAACGGCCACAGCATCAACGTCATCAGCGTCAACGTCAACAGCATCGGTGTCAACGTCACCGGCATCGGCGTCAACGTCAATGTCATTGGGATCGATGCCATTGTCATTGGAATCAACGGCATCAGCGTCACCATCATTGTCATTGGAATCGACGTCATCGGCGCCATCGCCAACGGCATCGGCGGCACCGGCATTGCCGGGTATCCCGATCCCGGGGTGATTCCGGATCCCCATTCCGGGTATCCCAATCCCGGGGTGATTCCATATCCCAATGCCGGGTATCCC